GCTGAATCGGAGGAATAAACGAGAAATTCTCAAGATGGTTGCTCTAATCCGCTGCATTCTCTCAAAAGGTTCACAGTAAATAATACCAGTGTGCAGAGCTTTCTTCTTATCCAAGACAACAGCGCTCTTGATTATAATAGCTTACGTTTCGGCCCTTCGCCTTCGTCAGAGGTTGAAGCAATTGGTACCGACCTTTGACGGACCAAAATCCCCAAGACAGTTTCTTCATAATAGTAAACCGACAGCCGGTATCGATAGGTCCAAGAGCACTACAAGGCCTTTTTAGATATTTGTCGCCGCAAGATAAAGTAGCTGTCAAAAATGTTCGCCGAAACGATTTCTGTGCTTCGCCTTTTTTTCGGCAGAAAAAAAAGTGGTCTCGAATTTTTTCTTTTGAATATCCTGATTCTTTAAGACTTGAGGATATAAAAACACTAGAAAACATAGTATATTCTTTGGAGGGCGTTGCTCAAGCGAGAAAAAATAATGCACTAAAAATCGTTTTGGCGAACACTTTTGACCGCTAGTGTAGCTAAAGATAATCGATACTGGCTGTTGGTTCACTATTCTAGAGAATTGTCTTCAGGATTGTTCGGCCTATGAAAGGATCATTCTCAATTGCATTTGAATTTTTCAGGCTTCGTCGAAGGCGAAGAGGTCCAAACCTAAGCTTAATCAAATCCACCTGAGGCCCAAACTTCTGTCATTTCGCTTAAGCAATAACAAAACCCTACGCATCGAAATTCCATGCCAACCTTGAGAGAAATTCGTTTTTGGAGCAAATCAAACTCCAGAAGGGGTTGTCGCTGAGCGCAATTACGAAAATTCCCGCATACAGGGGTGGCCAAAAAAAGAGACACTTTGCCCATGGCGCACATCATCGAACTTTTCGTCGCACAGGGAGCCGATGTTAATGAAAGTTTTACGGCGGAATATTCCTTAGGTGTTCCCCCGTAAACAGAAGCAGGCCCTCCTTCACTGCCCCCGCCGTCTTCAGAATATGACGTCATCTGCCGTCACCGTCGAGCTCAACGAGGCTTACCGTAATCGCTCCGGCCTGAAGCTGCTACATAATTTCTTCAATGGATTAACTGTTGAATAGCTTCCCAGAGACATTAGCTGTGACTATGCAAAACCGCTTTTGACCAGCGTTTCAGGGACGTCGTAATGGTCTATGGTACCTCGACGACCTCGTTGAGCTCGTACCGTGAACCATGTTTCCGTGGGAAAATCTTCTGATGTCGTCGGTGTAGAAGGCTGTCATGTAAGTTTTAGATAGATTAGAATGTGCTCTTTAATACTGAGTTGGGGGCAGTCGATTTGATTTTAGCAAAGTGTGATTAATGCTGTCTGAAATGTGGAGTAAAGTGTCTCTTTTTTTGGCCACCCCTGTAGTCAGATAACAGAAAATAAGGGCTGAAAATAAGCTGATGCAGAGCACTTTTTGTAGTATCCAACGACAAGATATCATAAGCAAATGATCCTCTACTCCAGCCGAATCCAGCCCATCGAAATTCCCGCCCCTTCCTTTTGTCTGTGAAAGATGAATATATATCTGGTCAAACTGACTATGGGTAGACTACCAGAGATTATTTTAGCAGGAGAACACAATACCATTTCTCACCGCTCTCTAATTCAATTCTGAGAGAAAGCTGAGTGCTCGGCGCATCGAGATGCGCCAATTGACGCCGAGCTCTTGAGTTTCTATGCACTTTTTTGAAGCACCATATTGACCATATTCTAAACTTTGTTGTCGCTCCAAAAATAAACAATTTTGTGATGTTAAAAGATCCGTTCCAGATGCCAAACTCGACACCAATGGGTATGGATCACCGACACTTGGCGATTTGGATGTGGACGCATAGCCAGTCACTTACCGACAACAGTGAGACGTCTATCGAGTCTGCTAACAGCGACGGGTGAGTGGTTCTTTAGACCAATGTAACAATTAGAAACACTATTTCTATTTTCCGAAATTCTAAGTAGTGTTATCTTCTCCACCATAACTTTGTGAGTAGTTGGAAGGTGCAGTTTCCAGGCAGACTCTTTAATTTCCGCACTAGGGACAATTGTCCACAAGACTTGATTCCATTTTCTCTTATACATTCCGACCAACAAGCGGTTTTTTCTCGGGGTGACGTACAAACGAACGATGTACACCTTCTTCACATTCTGGTTCTCCTCAAATTTTGTAATTTCAATCAGGTGTTCCTTCTTTTCAAAACATTCACAGAAACTTTCAAGGGGTTCTACAAGGTGAAAGCAGAGGCGCCTGCGTGACCAATGAAGCTTTATCGATATGTACTTCGCGCTGGTGGAAACTTTGTTTCAATGCCCATGACGAACCAAATCAATCATTTTGGTGACTAATTCGACATTCCTGAAGTGACAATCATTGCCGTGAAAACAGCGGCATTATTGCATTAATTTGCCAACACTTCTCATTTCAGAGGGTGCTTTGCTTTTAACTCCATCCATTTGCGTCCACTTACTTGATATCTAAAAAGTGCGAATGTAACCACTACGAAATAGTTCAAAGCAGGTGAACATGGTGGTAGCTGTAGCGTCGCTATCACCATACGGTGGAGGGCTCTTCAGGTGAAGACAGGTCTCCGTCATAGGTAGGATTTTCATTTTAAGTACTGCCACAGTCGCACAAGGGGTTGCGCTGACATCCAACTTCCTCCATTTATGAGGAGCCTGGGGGGGGGGTTACAATGAATATCTTTCATCGTCTCTTCGCGAGCTAAACATATTCCCTAGAACATGCTGTTTTCATATATTTATCATATTTTTGCATTTCTTTGATTCTTGAGATATTCAGGTTACCAATGAATCTATACAATGACCCTTTAGGTGTTTCGTGAACTCTTTTGCAGCGTCTTCTCTCATTCTTCTCTTCAAAGGAATTGCTCATTGGATACGCCTTAAGCTCACACTGTTTTCAATAACATCGCCCAGAATTTTGTTTGTAAGGGATAGGCGGAAGTGGTGTAGTGGCAAGTGGCACGCTCACGCGAGCGGTCCGGGGATCAAATCCTGGGTCGTGAGTCGCCCGGGCCAACCAAGCCTTCCATCCCTCCGGGGTCGGTTAATTGGACTTGTCTGGGAGGATAAAAACACTGACTTGTACATCGGCTGGCCCCGCAAGTCATTGTATAGGCCACATCGCATTCAAACGCCACTACGAATGTACAAATGGAAGTAGAATGCGTGCCGCATCCCAAAAAGGGATTGATCAACGGCAAATGCTTTATCCTTTATTATGGGATAGAGCGTTTTAATGCATTGAAAGCATTGAAAGCAAAGTATGCTTAGAGCTCCACGGGCTTTCAGTCTTTGAACACATAAACCTTGTCAAGGATAATTTCCTTCGTGCCATTCAGGACAGCAAAGCTTCACCGGGCTTACTCAGCTTCCTCAGACTTGCAGAGCCAGAAAAAATTGAAACACGGATACGGCTCGCCAGCGCATTTGCGTCAGTAATCCTAAATTTTGCCTCACCAAACATTTCAGCGATAACGGTAGAATCTTTGAAAATTGCCCAGGGTGACTGATCTCACAACTCGATTGCAAGCGTCAAGGTGATGTTTTTGATTAATTAGCAGATGCTAATAGGTCATTCGCAGATTTGATAGGAGTGTTTTTAGGAGCAAGGATGTTTGAGATTTGTTCTCTTTGCTGGCTAATTTTACCGAGAAGCGTGTAGGCAACGAGGAAAAACAAGAGTTTTTCAAAGCGAAATCTGATAACAATGGAAGGTATAAGAACACAATCGCATAGAACGTTGTTAGTTTTTGGACCAGAATTTGGGACATTCGCCTCGAAACCCTCAACTAAATAGGCCGACAGGAATATCATCCAGCGCTCTTCACCAGGGAATCTTCGTCACCCATCGCAGCGGCCCGTACTCGCCCTGTCGTGTCGCTGCGCGTCTCCCAAGAACCGGTTTCGACAAATATCATTCTATCAGAATTTCGCCGATGCGAATCATCTCTCACACAAATTTTTCTTCGTCTTATTGAAACGTCTCCATTTTCCACCTTTGTGCAATCCTCAGATTTTCTATCTCGAACTTCGATCATCTCAGTTCAGTCCATTACTGCGCAGCCGTATTGATCGAATCGTAGAACTGGATACGAATGTCGTCACCCAAAGAGGATTTTGAAATTGGGAATGAGACACGGTCTCATTCTTACATGCACTCGTGACTTCGCTTCATGGCCCTAACGATTTTAGCTGATCCTCCAGTTCGTGACTATAGCATGGAACCAGTAGCCAAATTGTAGCCATTTTGATAGCTGGGATTAACCCAATATTCCTTCATCAGCAGATAAACTTATTCTGGACTCACTAAAAAAAGCGAAATGGCCTTAAAGGGCTGTACGTAAATACTGGTGAGGGTTTGAAGGAGAAGCTCGTGTCGCAACTCTTCCATAAATCCAGCCGTGGTAACATTTCCTCACCAAATACAGCTAAATCTTCATTCTATCTTCATCTTCATAGAAACCATTTACTTTCTAGAAGAATAAACTTATCTCAGATTCGTGCTTTACTCCATAATTGATCTGGATTAGATAAAGAATGAGGCAGAGTAGGTCAGAAAAGGGCTCCAGGAACGGAGAGAATATCCTAACAGACAAGATCTGCTGTAGAAAACACCATCTATCCATTATAACCTGACAAAAACATGAGTATAGCGCTTCACTTTCCCACTCAACCTCTGACGAGGTCTACATTTTTAAAAGATGACCGTGTAACTGAAAATTTGGAGATTACAGCTCTCTCGACCTTCAAATTTAAATCCAATCAGGGATCCCGACATCACTTCGAGTTTGAGTTGACAACTAGGCCATCTTAAAGCAACTAGCATTTGAGGAAAAGAGTAAGCGTCCTGTCTTCCTCACTCGTCCCGTCCCGTTGGTGTTCACTGTAAGTTCAAGGCAATGCAACTATATGACAGTATGATCAGTAAAGGAAGGATTCAAATGACTGTGGTTCTCTAAAGAAAAAAGATTCTCCCAAGCGTGCAGAGTGTTGGCGCTCAAAGAGAACCAACACTTCATTGCTGATTACTCTCTTCCCAGAGAATTTTTACCAGATCTTCTTCAGACAAGTATAAAAGCGAATCGGGTCTGAGCCAAGTTCATGCAGGTACTTGCTTTGCTTTTCTCCGCGGTGGAATGGCGAAATGGTCTGACGACCATCAACCTTGTTAATAGAAAGGGCAGGTGGTGCAGGCACAATTTTACTCGCCGGCTTTTGGATGAAAGTCATTGAAGCTTTCAGCTGGCTAGTTGCTTCCCACTACAAGAGAGCATGTCTAAAACTTATCCTACCATGCTTTCTCTAGACTGATGCTCGGGTCTGGAAGCATCACGAAAACCTCTTCGAGCGCCGTTGTAGTTGCAGGGCATCAAACGACTGCGCAAAGGCGTGTATTTTTCGTGTCGTAGCGCAGTAGCAGATTGCACCACTAGCGGAACGAGTTGGCCTTCCGCAGTCAGACGTGTTCCACTCTTACGGAGCGAGCCGCCTGTCACAGTTCCTCCGCATCTCACCTTACCCCCGTACAAAGAAAGGGTCGATTGATCGCGCAGTCACCTCAGCGCCCATCTTCGCTAGCGTGGGTGTCGTCAGCCGACTGGTCGGAGCACAGTGGCTCATGCTTAACACATTGTTCTATGTTGTATTCATGATGTCGTACAGTGGATCGCTACTGGTCCAACTCGGCTACTATATTATTGAGGAGTTCTGTTTGGAGAAGTTCGATCGCGTGCCCAGTCTCGAAGAACAACTACAGTTGCTCGACTGACCTGATATAAGTAATCTGATTGCTGTAGATCTGTCGATAAATATTTTCCTGCTCTATTTTCTTTGAACAGGAGAGTTTTTGAAGAATCAACTGAGAAGGCGTTAGTGCGTAGGTGGTGTATAGCCCGGCCTGAATTCTTGTCATGATTTCATTACTAGTAATTGCGATGCTGAAGTCACGGAAAGCTTGATAGTAGTAACGATGAGGAGGGTGATGCTTGCGAAACTTCAGTCTTTCAAATTCACTCGGGCTAAATCTTAGCAGCAGTAAATAACCTGAGAGGTAGATGAAACATCAGTTCGATTCGAAGGACTCTATTCTCTTTCTTTTCACCTGAGGCGCTTAGATAAACCTGCCCTTTTTTGAGAAATTCCTGCCTTCTGGTACTTTTTGTGATCTTTGTAATAGTGAAACCATAGACACCATACTGCATTGATGTATTTAAAATAGGTCATTGCTGAACGCGACTTTTCTATAAGCGAAGTGAATCAACGCGAATGTCATCTGTAACGATCGATTAGTTCTGGTCAATAATGAGATTTTTTGATGTGATAATTGATAAGATGTGATAATTTTTGATCGTCCTACCCATTTTGAAAAGTGTTCGCCTTATAATTTGTTCGTATCTGTGTAAGCACTTCTAATCCAAGAGGCTTGAATCGAGCTCGAACAGAGCTATCCTTTGTCAATCTTAGCTAGAGCTCTTTCCACATTCCCAGTAAAGCTACGTGGTCAAACTTCAAACAGCTGTGTGAGACAGATGTGGTCGAGGGCAAGGCGTCTCGCAGACTCTGATAAGATCCTGTTCATAATTGTTGTCTTCATGTCAATTTCCTGACTCATTTCCGTGAAAATGTTCAGCGTTCGAGATGGCAGAACAAGTTCAACGCAAATCGACTTAGCGTCAAGTTTTTTCCCAACCCTGGAACCGCTGTGACTCGAAAAGATACGTAATCAAAGTTGCTTCTCTCTTGCCATCATTGATGTCGAAAACATGAGCTCTCAGAACTTCTAATTCAGTGCTAATGGGTGGAAATGGGGAAAACTACATACTTTCTCGAAGATCTCTGCGTTATGTTGTCGCTCTTGTGCCGCGGAGACGCCAAGCATTAGTGACCAACAAGCAGCGGGAGCGCTTTTAGAGATACGTAAATCATCGATCCCGATAAAATGATAAGAACAGCTCGCGTTTATTGGTCTTGCTGTGTTACCCAAAAATCATCCCTTCGAAGGAAAAAGGGGACGGTTAAGTGGAGGGTGCGCTCGACCTATTTGAGTAAAATTGCCTCCTACCTCCGTGTTTCAGGTACACTCGATAAGATCCCCCACCAACACACCTGAATAGATGAAATACAAATATGGCAATCATATTGGACCTTCTGAAAGAAGAATTAAGCTTGGTCCTTCGAACGCCGCCACCCCCCCCCCCCTCCTTGATACCGCTCAGATTTTGTAAATGGCACGATAAACTGCCGTTACCGAGCGGCTGCTAAGATGGGTTTTCGTGATGTACGGCACTGCACTCTTTCCGCGCGATGAGAAAGTGCGGTGTTTTGCAATCGCGATCAAAGCAACGCTTCTCCAAACTTGGTAACATTTAAGATTCGAAAATTCACTACATTATACGCTTTTTCCCAAGCTTTATTAAGTGACTGCTTGGCTTAGAATCGAGTTTCACGACCACAGCTGGCGTTATTTATGCTGGAACCAGAATGGCATTCAGAAAATGTCGGAGAACTGGTATCTTAGCATTCTTTTTTACTGAGTTGTATGTGCATATAAAAAAGCGCAGTACTATAGTTCCGACTTGAAGCATGTGCACTACTTCTTGTGATCCGTACTCAGCGTCACAGGACTACCTCCTATTACTGATGAGGTTAGAATAACTCATCCTTGTAACCATGAAGTGTATGCAGAATAGCTTGATATCTTCATTGGCCGTACTAACTATTCTAAGGCATAAATGGTAACGACTCGGGAGAGTCAGGTGTTTGCTTGCTGTTGCCACCTTCCTCCTTCCCTTTTACGCTTTAAACCTTCAACCTTCCCCTCTACGCTTTACAAGAAGGGGCTTAGTAGCGACGCTGGGTAGTTGCTGAAGTTTCAGAAATAAGGAATGTCTCTAGAAGAACACCATTTTTTTGATGCTCTCGGAGTGCGAATCCTAATATGCAACAGCAGAACTCTACACAATATACACTGCGACGCATAATTATAGTTCCACCTACAATTTCAGTACCCGGCTGGATATCATTTCTCACGATACGGCGCTTATCTCAGTCGGATAGTAATCAGGGTTCCTCCCAGTCATATCCTGTAGCATCCTTGAGAAATTTGTTCGTTATGAAGTCACCCCGACAAATTCCAGCGGAGCTGACACTTTGACAATTCCTGCGTCTCTTTTGCTAGGATTTCCCTTTTACGGAAGTGTGACAGCGGTTTTGCCTTTGCTATAAGCTAAGGAACTTGAATGGATAATAATTCCAAATTTTGATTGGGTAAAAGCAAAATGCAGCGGAGAAGCTAAAGCGGATATTTTCGAAAAAATAAGGATAAAAAATTGTTGCTTTCTCAAACTGGATTTCCGTGTTAATATTCAGATTCGCGTTTATATGTGTCACAATTTATCTGTAGAGCCTTTTCCAAAAACATCCCCAGATTCAAGTTTTTGGGAAATTTGTAGGTGGAACTATAATTATGCGTTAGGCAACTAGCGTCCCTACGAACCGTAAGCGGAGACTCATGGCACAGCGTTCTCGCTTAGTTTCCCAAATCTAAATATCGTTTAGGAAAAGACCATGAGAAGAAGCTATCCGGATATGTTGAGAATGACGAAGCCCATGGAGCTGTTATGCGTTCAGTTTTGGAAATTTTTTTAAGCAGTTTCAAATGAAAGGAGCAAAATTTATGACAAAAATCACGTTCTCGATTTCCGTGTGGTCTGTGAGAATTTTCTTGTTCGTTCCTCTAACAAAGAGAACTTCCGAGTCACCGATGAGAGAGGCGATGGAGGGGTGGGAGAGAGGGTATAATATCAACGGGGACTGGATCGCGAAAGTGCCTTCCATTCGGATTAGCTCATAGGTAGGCCTGTAACGTGAAATGAAGGAGTATTGATAACTTCAAATTTTGTGCAACATCGAGTTTCCCATATTCTTGCACAAAGATAGAGGCTCCTCATTACAGCAAGCAGCGTAAGTGTTCATGGCTGCTCTCGGTTTAGCTTGCGATGTTGAAGTCCACCCTGGTCACGAGGTCGGTGTGTTCGATGTCGTAAAATCCTATCACTATGGGCGACGCAGACTACAGGCACGCCTTCGCTTCTGTGCTGCTTTGCGGTTTCTCCACAGGGCTCCTGTAATACTGATCTGATTACCACCCGTGCAAGTTATGGCGGCCGTATGGTCATCGCTGTCCGCGCATCCATTCCCGCTGATAGAATCCTCTTATTCGCCCATGATTGGGCCAGTGGTACCGTGAAAAAATTACAGTCGAGTTCGTCACTTGATGACGGCAAGTCCTAAATAGTAAATTGCAGCAAATAGAACCATCCCATGTTCCCTGACAAGATAATCGGGAAGTCCTCTTACGGTTCGAAGGCATATTCCAGGATGAAACGTTTATGGTTCTTGGACAATTATATGAAAGTATTGGTGCGAAATGGACTGGTAGTGAAAAAAGGAGACATTGGTCCGAAAGCTCATGTGAGAGGCTTGCTCACCCAAATAATGCGGCTGTGTAAGGCAATGTGTGGGTGAGCGTGGAGAGAAGACTATTAGGCCACGGAGCGCAGCAGATGAGAAGGTGCCCGTTATGGACGAAAAAAATCGAAGCTATTGAAGCTGCTGAAGCTGCCTTTGCAAGGCTCTAGCTCTCTTGTCGGGCCTCTTCCATGCACGGCTGTGCCAATCTTGGTTGTCCTCTAGGGGTCACCTGCAGAATGAAGAGAAGGGTTAGAATCGTTTAGCTGACTTCTGGTTCGTGCCTCTAACTTCAATAAGCCAAGGGCAATGGTGTGCTGTTTGATCTCGCCGCCTAGTTCAAATCTGAGCGACCTTAATTTAAATTCAGACGGCATCTGTAGTGCTGAGTAGTTCCACTTCAAGCCGCACAATCTCGCTTGAAAACAATTCGTAAGGAACACATCACTGTTTTGTGAGATTCAAAAATTGCTGTGTAAATTTGAAAAGGCTCCGTTCTTCGTAGACCGCGCTAAATCACAAAACATTGCAACCTTTTCATCGCTATTGTATATTTGACCACAAAGCAAGCCCTCCGGAACCTCAGTAGATAATGAAGAGTTTTCTTCGATGATGGACAGTGGTAGGCTCAAAGTTTGATAGTGCCGATCGAGACGATAGACTCAAACAGAATGCACACGCTTCTACTCGGCAGAATGCGCGATTCCCGGGCCCAGGCATTGTAATGGGCGATGATGGCCTCCTTGTATGTTGTGTGTTGCTATTCAATTGAGATTTTTGAGAAAACTGCGATACACTCCAGCAGTGGCGAAATTTTTCCCATAAAAAGCTGCCAAAGAGGCGCGCTCAAAAATATTAGGCTGTCCCATAAGTAGCGTCGTTTTTATTCGAACAAAAAATTTTCGGCTAAAATTTCATGCTTTTACACCAAGTTACAAACCATTCGAAAGAGAATTGTCTGCTTTAAGAATCTCTTCGTTTCGCTTCCACATTCGTTGCATTATTCTCAAGTTTGGGGCTTGCAAAGGGAGCATTAGTAAGCCGCTACTAAGTCATCACCTCTGTAAATCTGGCCCAAATTTTTCACAGCTGAGACTTTGAAAAACTAGTGGAACGCTAAAAACAGCTCATGACTAATTGTAAGTCGGGAATGTGTGCCTGATTGAATTTCTCGTCTTCTCAGGGAAATTCTTTTTGAAAATTATTGTATATGGTCATTTCTGTGGACTGAATCATCTTATCACGCAGGCCTAAAGTTCGACCTAATTCATAACGAAATTCAACACAAAAATAATTGAA